AAGGAGCAGTTCCTGTCTGGTGCTGACAATCAGACCAAGTCTGGCGTGTCGCATGCGCCTGCTGCCACGCCTGCTGGAGAGGGAGTCTATGTTATCACCTCTACTGGAAGCGATAGCCATCTCGCGTACATGCTCACCCTGCCGTCTGACCTCGGCGAGGTGCAGAAGGAGCTTGGGCTCAAGGAGAAGGGAAGCTTCATCTTGAGCACGAAGAACCCGTACAAGAAGGGCCCTGCAAATGCCAGTCTCGAGCAGACTCCCGACTTCCCAGACAGGTACATGATAAGATCGTCGCCGTTTCAGTTGAGTTGAAGTGCTAACAGGATGACATCTAGTATCAAGGACGACTTCCGCGACCTGCGGTGGACAAACACCAAGCCCGAGCATCTCGACTACCCCTATGCCCAGTTTCTCTTCATTGGCCAGTCCGAATTTAGTAATGCCGTCGAGCCAAAGTCCAAGGACGTCAAAGCTGGCAAGGAGAATCCAGAAGACGTTCTCGAGGAAATTGCCGACGAGGATGAAAAGCGCATGGAGCACCTCTCTGGTGACGACTCGGCCTCCATCTTTGCTGATCTACAGGCGCGGGCCAAGGACTATCCGAAGCTGCAGACTACCTTTTGAATTTGATCACGTTACCTTCTTATTGGAAAAGCTGGCGTTTCGCCGTGTATTCTATGAACTTATTTGGAGGCGCGCAAGGGATAGAAAGCCCTTGATAATTGTTCAGTGTAGTCGTGCCAAAAGGTGTAATTGGTAACAGAGTATTATCTCAATATGCCAAACCAAGTGTTTCATTCCCGCAGTATTTTACGCTGAATAGAATCCTCTTGGCCGGCCCATCGGAGTGACTGTAGTTAGAGTTTATTATGACACCGCCAAACATCAATCCATTGTTGTTTGAAGTTTTCCCACCCGTAATGATTCATCGAAGAAGCACTCTCCGCAGTTCTTGAAGACTTCCAATAATATCAGATGGGGAACTTCCGCAAATAACCTTGAAGAAACTTTAGGCTCTTGGGGGTAATATTCTTTCACCTGTAAAAAAGCCCAATTTACTCAAGTCCAGGATGGAAGATAAGGATCCCTTCAAAAACTCACCAGACCACAGAAACGCTGGCTGTTGACTGATCTACCATCACTCTCAGCTAACAAGTGATTAGTTTAGGTACTTAGGCGCCACATGCAGGATTCCGTCAAGGGCGGCGATCCTCCTCTTCCTTCGCCGATGGTTATGCGGCGAGGGGACTGTGAGATCCCGATCGGCGTTAAGCAATGTCGGGGATGCGGAGCCCCGATCGCCGATACACGACGACCACGGGCCGTGATACCGACTTACACGGTAGGTGAGACGGGACTGCACGAATGAGACTGCCGTCTTTGGAGAATAAGCTGCATTCAAAACGGTCGTTATTGGAATCTTATATAAAGCATCAGTGGTTCCTCGATTGATTTCATCTATCAAAACTACACTATCAATTTCATCAAGACCAACATATCATAACTTCATCACCAAGACACTTCCAAAATGACACCGCTTAAAGGAAAGACGGCAATCGTCACAGGAGCATCCCGCGGTCTCGGCGCAGGCATGGTTCTAGACCTCGCGCGCAAGGGCGCATCCGTAAGCCCCTCCATCGTCCCACCCTCCTACCACTGCATCCGCTCACCAACAATAGGTAATGCTCCTCTACACCTCCGACTCAAGCGCCCCCAAAGTCCAATCCCTCATCACAGAAATCACTTCCCTCCCACACCACCCGTCCGCAGTATCCTGCAGAGCAGATCTCTCTTCAGAAACCGCCACAGAAATAGTCCTCGCCGCCCTCGACGCCTGGCTCGGCCCAGACGCCCACGTCGACATCCTAATCAACAACGCCGGCACAGAGCTCAACGCACCGCTGGGCACCATCTCCACCGCCGACTTTGCAAAAGTCTACGACCTCAACGTCCGCGCGCCGCTCCTCCTAACCCAAGCCCTCCTCCCGCGCCTGGCGCCTAAGGAGGCACGTGTCATTAACATCGGTTCCGTAGGCGGACGGCAGGGGTTCCCTGGGTTGGGGCTGTATTGCTCCTCCAAGGCTGCGCTTGAGGGCCTGACGCGGGTTTGGGCGCGGGAGCTGGGGAAGAACGGAACGACTGTGAATTGTGTTGCGCCGGGGCCGGTGGAGAGCGATATGCTGGATAAGATCCCCAAGGAGCTGGTTGAGATGCAGAGGCGGCAGACGCCAGTGGAGAATCGGACGGGGACGGTGGAGGAGGTTGCGAGGATTGTGTCGTGGCTTGCTGGTCCTGAGAGTTCGTGGGTTAGTGGGCAGGTTATTAGTGCTAGTGGTGGTTGGGTGATGTATTGAGGTGGCCACGCATGGTTTGTACAAGAGGGCAGAGTAGATGAGGGTTTGCAATGGTAATGCCGTTAAAATCACCAAATGAAGAGCCTTTATCAGGAAGGGACCTACTGTTCGGGCATTGAATTCCTGAAAAGATCACCTATTCGGCCTGAAGACGTTGCACATTGATCAGCAAAAGAGTTGAGGGATCTCTCGCAAGCAATAAATCTTGGGTATATTTCTTTTTCCTATCCGTCATTTCTAAGCCTCTAAGCAGAAGCCTTGGCAGCCTCCTTTTCCTTTGCCTTGGCGGCCTTCTTCTCGTCAATTTGGCGCTGCTTCTCCAGCTTCTTGAGCTGGTTCTTCGTCATCTTGCCGTCGGCACCCTCGGCGGGGCCATCGGTGGTAGCCTCACGGATAGGGATGGACTTGAGGTTCTCTGCAAGACCCCAGGACAACGGCCGGCGGCTGAAGAACAGGTTGACGGTCTCCTCGTCCACCTTGGCTCTCCGCTCCTGGAAAGCAGTGCAGTACTTGGCCAGCTCCTCGGCACACCTCTTCTTGATTTCGCCGGTGAGCATCTTTCCTGTGCGGTAGTCCTCGCGGATCTTGGCGAGTTCCTCATCGTCGTCGAGGAAGAAGCGCAGGTATTGGTAGCTGACGTCGACTGCATACTGATGTTAGCTACTATGCACACAAGGAAGCGGTCTGAGTCTGTGGTCTTACCATCCGGGTCGGCTCCCTCAGCGCGCTGCTCCTCGGCGGTAACCTTGCCGCCGCTGAAGGCATACTTGTTCATCTTGTTCTGGATCTGCTTAGGTGTGTCGTTCAAGAAGATGGCACTTGAATCAATTGACGCCGACATCTTGGAGCCGGGGCCCTGAAGAGCATCGAGGAAACGGGAGTGAATGAGAGAGGGCTTAGCATAGCGGAGGCCGGCGGCACAATCTCTTGTCACGCGGAAGTAGGGGTCTATCTTGATGTTAGTCTCGTCTCGTTTCTAGAGCCAGCAGGCAGGAAAGACAAACCCTGGTCAATGGCACAAGGAATGAGACAGGGAATCTGGGAAGTCTTCGCCTCGTCGTCGCCAAAGATGTGGGGGAATGAGTTGCCAAAGGAGGAGCTGGCTTGGATACTGGCAAAGTGAACCTTGCCAATGTTGGAGCTGTCGTCGAAGCCGAAGACGGCCTTGGCTGTGTTGAGCGTGATTCTCTTGGCCACACGCGTGACGTTCCTACAGGAAAGTCAGCATTCGTTCTCGACCCCGCCTTGTACAGCCTGGAACGTACTTGTAGAAGTTGCCGCCCATGTAGTCGTAGTCGGAGAAAATGAAGGTCCTTTCGGGGTTGAAGCCAATTGCAATGCTGCGCGATGTTAGAGCGCATACTCGCGGATAGTGCTAGAAGTCTTACATGTCCTTGGCGTTTTCTCTTGTATAGTGCTGAACCTCCTCGACCGTTCTCTTCTCAGAGAAGAGGAACTTCTCATCTATGCCTTCGAGTCAGAAAGGAGTTCCGGGATAATTCTTCAGCGCTTTTTCTTACCGTCGGTCATCATGATCTATGCTAGAGTTAGCGACTGATACTGCAAGAGGAGTCAATCAAGAGAACGTACCACTAGTGGCGCATCGAGGACGTCTGACAACCACTTCGTCAACTGGAAAGGGATAGCATGTCCGACGTGCATGCTGTCGGAACTGGGTCCACGGCCTTAATACGATCTTGTCAGCCATCGTCCTGGTCCGCACTGCTTTTCATGTCCTTCGGACTTCGGAACATCTCCGAGGCAACGCACCAGTGTAGATGAAGAAAGGCTGCTTCTTCTCGACGCGGTCGAGAATGAGGTCGAGGTCGCGGTGGGAGAAGACAATCTGGCGGCGGAGGAAGTGGTGAGGTCTGTGACCAGTCACGCGCTCGAAGCGCTCGAGGAGGGCATCGTCGATCAACTTCGTTCCGAACTCGTCGACAATTTTCTGTGCGACAGTCAACAGTCAGCTAGAGCTCTCCATTGACAGGGGGACTGGAATTCCTACCTTGTAGTCAATGGCCTTGACCTTGCCATCAGTGCCGACCTATTTCCTCGAGTCAGTATATGCCCTTCTCACTTATACGCCACTATTCGCAAACCCACTTCTCCAGACACGTTCCAGGGGTCGACTTTCTGGCCGCCCGAGGCGGCGGGCGCGTCGCCGACAGCTTCAGCGGGGATGGCGGCGGTCGGGGCTTCAGGTGCGGATGCCATTGTGTCGCGTGGTCTCAGTCGATGGTGTGGAGTGTCGATTGACGAGAGTGAGAAGAATCCGGGGTCTTGGCGACTGGTCAATCGTCTTCTATACGCCTCTCGCGGTGACTCGAATTGCTTGATGACACAGAGCTGTCTGGGCAAAAGTTCCGAAAAGCGTGAGTCAATGGCGGGGTGAGGGTGTGCACCTGCCTTTGCGAGTCAAAGTGCGGCTCGATTTCGGTGTGTACCCCGCTACCCCGCAGTCACCGACTTACCTTTCTCACCCTCTCGGTGAGGACGCGGTGGGGGCCATCATCGCTCTCGGATTGCGAATGCACCGCCACTGGTATTCTGAGGGATCTTGAGGTATCATGATTGCAGAGAATAAGTGGCCAGTTACTCAAGTTGAAGGTGAAAGTGTCAGATGATAATGCAATTCTCTATCCGTTACTGTATCTTGACCGGAATTCCGTTCTGCGAGATGCAACTGTCAGGCATGTAACCCACCCCAGTTCGTTCATACACCATCAATCCACCAGCACTCTTTGATGCCTTGGGGGTGACTAGCAAAACAAAACACCTCCGCTCATCTTGCATTCTATCTCTAGACCTTCCCACTACAATCACTCTCACATTTGGTAGTTGGCCATCACTTTTCGCCGGGTTGTCAAAGATGAGCTTGCTCGCCGAGTGATGGCCGTCAAGCTGAGAGAACTCACGAGCAACAGCGCTGAGGCTGATTCCCAGGCTTTTGTCCGAGGTGTGATAAAACCCATCCGGCGACTTGTTAGCCCATGGCGACTGGATCTCACTCTTCTCCCAGTCCACGCCATCAAACGGAGGCTCCAGATAGTCGATTCCTCCTTTGTAGGCCATCCATGACCATGTAGGAACTTCGAGGTCTCTTTCGGCAGGGAAGATGATTCTATCGAGGGTTGAATCGGATCCTCTCTGCCAAAGAAGGCTGCGTCGTAGTAATCCACCGCCATCGTCAATGACACCGTAGCCGCCGTGAGTCTTGAAGCTTTGGATGAGTCTCTTTTCAAGACCAGCTATACCGAATGGTCTGTCTTCATTTCTAGAGAACTGCAGACGGGAGTATTGCTTGTACAAGTCTTGGTAAAGATGGATTTTGGCGCCCCTTGGCGAGTTCATGGCGATTGTGGGAAATCGTGGATCACCGAGGAACGCGGCAACATTGCTTTGGACGTGAAGTGTCAGCATGAGCCAAGGTCTTGTTAGATACGGGCATACACAGCAAGTTGACTTACTTATCCAACTTTGTCATCGTCTCGCAGCGCACCCCTTGGCCACACTCCCAGTACGTTTGTCTTTCGGTGAAGTAAATCGTCCTGTGCGCCAGTGCTCGCTCCTGCAGGACCCATCCCCGTTTGCAGAGCCTTCCTTCTATTACATCGCCTTCGAAGTCATCAATCTGCTGGCACACATGATAATTACCACTGTTGTTTCGATTGAAAGTGACGTAGTTCCTATCGGGTCGTGGTCCAAGAAAGCCATCATCTTGCCCAGTAGCGCGACTTGCCGCAATGACGCAGTGCGCAAAGCTGAAAACGTCTTCCATGTGTTTGGACTCTTCTTTGAAGTCTCCGTCGGGTCCCTGTACAATGCAAATGGAGTCTATCCATAGATGCTGGAAGCCAAGCTCTCTCGTTGTTGTGACGGCGTCTTTGAAAGTAGCAGGCAAGTCTTCAAAGTCGATTCCCAATTTGTGCTTCTCGATGTTGTCGGTGTAGGTGCAGAAATGCCGATGTTCCGCGGGATCTCCCCAGGGATGAGACAAGGCTAGGTACTTTCCACGAGCACCGTCCGTTTCCCATAGACGAATCTGCGAGCTGGAGACGTCAAGAAGCCTTGTGGGAAGATTGACTTCAGTGGCTTGCAGACAATTTCCATGCCCCGAGCCCTGATCGCAGCTCTGGAGCCACTGTCGTATTACTTCGAAGTGCAACTGATGACCGCCTGGTGCAAGTCTCGGGAACCCAATTTGAAGTCCGATGCTATCGTATTGGGTCGATTTAGAATCTGCCATCAACTGTGAATTAGTTCACTCGGTCAAGTAAAGCAAATTAAAGGAGCGAAGAAAACCTCATCGGACCTGGATCATGAACGATACTCAAGATGGGATTGTTTATCCCAGAGATTCTTAGACCAGACCCTTCTCTATTCAATTGGAAAGGTCCTGCCTTTTGGAACACTGTGCAGGCTTGTAAGAGCAACTTGCAGAAACCACATGCGCCTGCTCTGTTTTGTAGATCCGAGACTGTATCGGATAGATAAAACCCGGTGGCCAGAATGTCTAGTTTCTCACAACGTTGACAGAGCTTTTTGGTACGGGCAAGCGAGAGGTTATTTGTAATCTTGTTGACTTTCGTGATATACAATTTGGCGAAGCTATTGTCTCTACTAAAACGCCAGTGGTCGCTGAGCTGACAAATTATTGAAGTCAGCAAACCAGTCAAGGCCCCAGAATGGAAATAATCTGACTTACCGCCTTGAGTCCTCAATCATATTAGCCACTAAAATTAGAGCAGGTTTGACGGAAAGGGATTGACCATCGGGTCCAGAGATAACTTACGTGCTGCATCGAACCAAAGTGCATTAGTCAAAACATATTTGGTCTCAAAACGACATTGAACACTCAACCAACTTACCTCCTTCAGGTTATTCACAACTGTCAGTGAAATGCGTAATGTCATACTTTTCTAAACAAGGGAACCAGAGTACTCAACTCACATACTCAACATCTGAAGTCAGCTTCTACTGCCGTCTCCAGGTATCACAATCAACTACTCACGTCATGCTATGATGCAAGAATTAGTGTTGCGACAGTGACGTTGATCAAGAGTACATACAGACTATGGGGGAGTCAGTTTGTGAGACTCCAGTGGCATGAATCTTGCACTTACATGTTGTGCCTGTAATGCGCCATGGAAAGGGAAAGGGGTATTTCCCCTAGGCTTTTCGGCCGCTCCAGGCGATAATAAGTTGGTGGATTGTGATCTTGGTACGATCAATGAGGGACCATTGATATTTCGACGGTCCTGGGCTGTGGAGAGATAAGAGTCGTTGCCATCCGCTTTTCGTAGGATGTTCTTCAGTCCAGACCACATAGCTTTGGCGTCAGCTCGATAGGGGCCACTTTCAGGTGTGCTTTGGCCGGCACTGGTCACGGATATACGTCTATCCTGATTGTCCTCAATGAATGTTGTTGTCTGAGATCCTTTCATTGTCGCTGCTTGCATCAGTAACGGAACGACAAGTAGTCGGTTCCTAACGAGATTGAGCAGATCGCCGATAGCAGAATCTCTGCCGCACTGTCCATCAGTAGCGATGTAGTCCATCCATCGTACCACAACAGGATGAATTTCAGCCACCCGTCCTCCATCGGTCTCCTTGGTCTTGAAGAAACTGCAATCATAGCCATCGGCACTGAGACTATCATCAAACCTCTCCAACGCTTCGTAACCGTACAGGAGCCAGATGACGCATTCGAGCATGATGCAGCCCATAGACCAGATATCGTAGAGCCTAGATCTCGCCTTATCAAGGCGGTTGGTCACAACTTCGGGCGGTTCGTATCGAACCGTACCATACTTGGCACTGGTTGGCTTCTTTCTCACTGCTGTGACGTCGTTGTGGTGTTTCGCAAGGCCCATGTCTGCAATTTTGAGGATCCCCACGTAGGTTTTGTCTTTGAATCGGAGGATGTTTTCTGGCTTCAAGTCGCCGTGTCGGTAGTTGCCTTGTCCTTTGTAATTGTGTAAGTCATGCAAAGCATCAGCCAGTCCACAAAGCTGTGCGATTGTCTGCCTCACTAGATTTGGCGTGAGTGATGGCCGATTTTGCTCCTGCCAGAACTCCCTCAGATTGCCGCCATCAGCCCATTGAAACATGAAGTAACGCTTTTCTCCACGTGAGATAGCCGCAATGCGTTGAATGATGTGGGGGTGTCGGAGGTCTGTAATTTCAGAGAGTGCCGTCCGCTCGTCCTCGTAATTTTTCTCGATCTCTTGACGCATGTCGTTGTAAACGACGATTTCTTTGATGGCGACGTGAGCCAAATGCCCATCTACCTAAGTTATGCTTGAGCTTTTTATCCACTTGAGGGACTTTTGGAAGTAATTTCTCACTGTCAATTCTGGGGTTTCTTGGTGATTAGGATGGATCTCTACTTCGTACACCCGGCTGAACATGCCTCCTTTGACGATATTGTTAACCCAGGTGAACGGAAAGATACAATCAGGAGATAAATTGTGCTGAAATTTGGTCTTTGAGAAGACAGGGGCCAGGAACCCCCATTGTTGACTATAGAATGTCTTAACTCTGGTTCCTGACCAAATCTTTGGGAGGCGTTTTCCATGCAAGCGGTCGAATGGGAAAGGAAGCGCCCAAGTTGGGGAGTCTCTCTTTGGCGTCTCAGGCTTTTCGATAGGAAGATTGCTGTCATTAAAGAAGACAACGTCTCTGAAGAACTTGATAGTCGTCACTAGGTCTTCTCCACTCACTCCACAGCAGACTGCAATTGCAAAGACTTTCTTTGCCTTCTCTTGCACGAAACGTATGACTGCTTTTTCTGGAGTCCGTGGCACCTCGTCGTCAAAGAGCTCGCTAGAGATAGTTCGCTCAGTAACGAGAATTTCGATACTGCCCTCAGGCAAAAATGTTGGATCTCGCTCATCAAACTTGCTGGTTTCAAAGCGTTGGCACAGTTGATGATCCAAAGTGACCTCATGTGAGGAGGACTCCTCGATATGATTTTGGTCAAAAGACGACATGTTTGGCAGGAATGCTCGGACTACCCCAAACAGAGGAGAAGAACAGTGAGCGGGAGCTGAGCTGAACCAAACACGATAGGAGGGGGGATTAAGGGATATCAAGTCACAAGAAGCAAGTCACTGTTGGGATTTCAACTGCCAATCGATCTTCAGGATCCAATATGTGGGAGGTGTTGACGGGCATGGTCGCATTGGCGATAGAGACAAACCAATGGTCTCACTGCCTTCTCGAAAATCCTGGACCATTGAGGCAGCCAAGCCATGGCTGCTGAGCAGCTTTTAGAGCGTCAATCAGGCGACCTATCAAGCGACTGGCCGATGTCATAGAGGCAACCGTGCATTGCCAGCCTGCTGCTTTGAGGGGGAATATTGACGTGCTTCGAGAACATACATTGCAGCCTGCAGCATACGGGTTAGCATGCATCCAGGCGCTGAAGTTGGACCCGGTCCATTGGTTGATGTATCTGCGTGATGACCGCACCACGTGTCTCATTTTAACGTTGGCGCCGAGTCCTGCAGCTTTGGCTGTGTAGATAGACTACAGGCGGAGGGATTTGAGAGGATCGGCACTCAGCCTGCCGGGCCACCCCTAAAGTCCAATCTCTTCTCCTGCGCTGACATCTTGAAATGGACACCTTTGTCTTGCTCAATCAAGCACTTCGGTTGCGAGCTCCAAAGACGCCGCGCTATTCCTGAGCAATCACTACCCTGGCTCATTGAACGTGAAGAAGGCTGAGGTTCGCGATGTAACATTATCACCTCTTTGAGCAGGCCGCAGGTGTGGCACTATCAACATGCTCAAGGCCCAGAACCTCTCCTTATGCCCGATCGCTTCTGATGGGCCTTGACCCCGCCCTTGGCTCTGCTCGAATGTCCGGCATGGTCTTCCAATTGACTCACTCTGAGAGGAGAGCGCAGAGGGAAATGAGAGTTCCAACTTTGATCATCCAAAGGTCTCTGAGCCGGCTCTGAACAAAATCTTGAAGACACAACGCACATATCTCGCCACATAGACAGCCTTTGTAGGACTTCAATGCAGGTAATACGTCTGTCACCACTCCTCGGATCTTCCGACTCAATCACCAACATTCCGAACATAATCATGTTCAAGAAGTGGTGCAGGTACTCGCTACAGGCAGGATGAGAATGCAGTCTGTCCACGAACTACCATTTCTCAAATATTAGATCAAGATCGGGATAGCAGTGGCCGAAGAATTGACGACGACTTACGCGAACAACAGCTGGCTTCACCGAGGCCGTCGACGAATCTTTTACTTCAGAAGTATTGATTGTGAAGAAGGTGTCCGAATCAATTCCAGATAGCCATGGATCTGGCGAAAATCGTAACTGGGCAAACTCAAGCAGCAAGTCTTTGCCGCCGAGTGACCAGGTGATGAACTCGAGAAACACACAACCAAGTGACCATATGTCGCACGATTGTCTGATGATACGCCGACGAAGATCGCATTCAGGTGGTCTATATGTGGGAGAATTGGCCATCTGGCTTCCGTGCTGGTTCGACCGACTGAGTCGGCTGTGTAACTCGGCTAGACCGAAGTCAGTGAGTCTCAAGATACCTTGGTCAATCGATTCCAATGTTTCGTGGAACCAGAGTATGTTCTCAGGCTTTATATCTCCGTGCCGGCCATAGCGTCGCTTAGAGCTTTCGTGGTCTCTGTTGAGAGCATCCAGTGGTGTTAATAAAAGACCAGTGGACTGGGACGCCTTTTCTTGCAAGTCGGAGTCGTATTGGTGAAGCCGTACTAGGCCATCCGCGATGCCTTGACATTGCTCGGCCATCCACGATATTGTCCCGAAGCTTAAAATGGGCCGTGGATTCAGCTCTTTCCAGTACTTCATCAGATCTGCCTCAGCCCAAGGGAAGATCAGGTAGAAGTGTCCTGATTGCTCGTACGTTGCTAAGAGTGAGATCAAGTGAGGATGCGAGTCTCCGCTGAACTTTTTCAACACCTGGACCTCCTTTTGAAACAATTCCTTACTCGGCGAGTTGAGACATTTCACTGCGAAAGTGTTTGGCCGCACCTGTGGCTGTCAGACCAATATTTCTCCTTGGGTTCGTGGTGATTCTAGTTTCGCGGGCTCGAGGACTCACACTTGGTTCCAAAGCTGAGCTGCTGAAGTCATGGTGGTCAGGGTGGATCTCGGCTTTGAAGACTCGACTGAAGCCACCCCCACACATCTCAGCAGTTCCGATGTCGTCGTGATTGCTGGTCGAAGTGAATGGAAGAACAATATGAGGCGCCAGAACATAGTGTTTGACGTTCTTTCTTTTACCTTTGGTGAAGAATGGCGGCAGTATGGTCCATTGGTACTCCTCAAAGTTTCTGATGCTCACTCTGGTCCATGACAAGAATGTTTTCAATCGATCGTTGCGTCTTGTTTCAACTCGAAGTTCGAAAAGCCCGCCATTTTCGGCAGCTTTGACAAGGGGAAGATCTTGATCGCAGATGCCCTCATCTATAAAGCCCTGAATAGATGGCACCATATCAATCAACACTAGTATAGCAAAGACTTTTTGGTACGACTTGCTTGGTGGATCGGGATTTTCCTTCGCTGGATTGTGGTTATCACAAATCGTGCTTGCGAGTCGCTCATAGGAACTCCTCCGGACCCCAGGAACCTTCCTCTTGAGCTCTTGGATGACAGGTTGCTTGCGTATGAGACTGTTCAATTGTCCTTTGGGTAGAAATTGTCTATGAGTCTGGGGGTTGGTCTTGAAAGACATGTATAGACGATCTTCGAAAGAATTGAGTAGAGCATCCTCTTGTGTTGGAGATACAGGAAGCAATCCTTCTTCCACCGCTTTTGTATACATCTGATCTCCGCGGTCCATAACTTCGCTGGGTTCGAAGGGCACGGCCGGAGGAGGCAGAGCGGATTCCGGCGGCAGGCCATTACCAGTGATCGGGGCCAGAGCAGCGCCTGGAGTGGGAATAGGATCGTTGCGATTAGGATAGTAGGGAATATCCTGAGGTCGTAGATGATTAGTGTATATTAAACCAGCAACGATCTGGAGATCATGTCTCACCAGGTCTGAAATCTCAGCGTTGATAATGGCAGAAACCATACGCCCATCTGGGATCCCAAGCCCCACCCCTTGCGTCAACTCTTCTATAGTAGCGGATGGAGTTTCATCGAGACATGGGCTTTCCTGCTTTTGATGTGGTGTTCCCAAATTTGAGGGCGACGAAAAGTCGAATTGAGTTCGGAGGCCATGCTGCGAAAAATTGGAGTCGACCGCGCCGTTGCATTTCACTCCATTATCAATGATGGCATTGAATGTGGTTCTAGGAATAGTTGGAGAAACAGAAGACGCTGTTGTTGAAGACCTTGATGTTTTGAATTGACGAGACTTGTTTGAAGTTGCATCAAGTCCATTGCGGCTGATTTCGCGCAAGTCTGGACTTGATGATGCGGACCCGACGTTCTTTATTGTGTCCATGTTGCTAAGTTGATTCGTGAGAGATGAAGGTGGCACCTCTCAAATCATTGGGAATGAAAATGATAGGTTTCGGGCCTTGAAGATGCGACCATTGGAGGGGCCTGAAGAGCTGGGGCACTGTCTTATGTCTTTTCATAATATCGAGCAGCCCATCAGGTGGACTGGGTCTCGGGGGAGACGCCTTGTCTTGGAAATTACTTGACAGGATCTTCTAAACCTGTCAGCTGAACCACCCTTCCCAGAGCCTTGCTGACCCGGTGAGATGGTGGCCCTGTGAGGTTGAAGTGGAAAAAGTAAAACAGGTCACTCCTTGGTCTAGCCTGATTTGTCTGCGCGGCAGTGAGCTGGATGGTGTACCCCGGTTTCCACCAACCATTCACCACAATATTACCCACGGCGCCTGTTATCTGTTTCAACCTCCCAAGGCAGATCGGGTCTGAGAAAGGACCGATTTTGCATTTTGGCCCTACACTTCACCAGACACCTCCGTAAGTCCAGTCACAGAACTGCGGAACATGACGGAGCTGGTCTAGCACCAGTCCTCAAGGATGACATACTCCGACACCCCTATATCAAGCACTCAAGTCCCTGCCTTCTCGCTGAAAGCTGCTGGAAATTTCTGGCTACTTTCCGGACTTTCTTAGTTCTCATTCAGTTACGATCTGAGAACATCTCCCATCATTTTCAGTTTAAACACTTGCCATGTGCGATATCTCAGCACCGATGGTAGTGTTGAATGCCCATGATGATTTCGACAATGAAGAGCCCCCATCCCAGGATATCTCTGCTAGAGGCATCAACCCCGCTAAACTGACCTCTTTACTGAGGGACAAGTTTGGAAGTGGCTCATACAATGTGCATGTAAGAGTGAACCTACCAGGCATAAGAGACTTTTCCCATAGCCAGCAACGGCTCACTAATAGGCCTTCCTATACTTAGATGATGCACAATGTATACACAATTCGAGCCCCTAGACGCCTGTCAGTGGTGAGTAATCTTGTAATTTCGTAAGCGTGCGCTCTTTGAATAAGTTGCTGATCTGAGGTTTTCAGACAGAAATAGCCCAATGTGCCTGAATGCTGGTTATAGCAAAGACCATGCCGCTCACTGGAACCCTTGTACACGTTGCGCCATTCAACCACGATTGCTTTCTTTCCGAACACGTCATCTGCAAACAATTTCGAGGAGGACTATGATCACAAGGTTTCTCGGTCTCATATTAGATTCAATATCAGAATACATATTCGCATTTACTTCTTAGGACATGGCACGTGATTGGGATTGGGAAAGGGCAGGCTGGGTAACTGAAGCCCCTTCGTTTCTGAAACCTATCTTACTTCAACAGCAGGATAGAAACGAGCCTGTCGTGGCAGGAAACGGTCTCTGTATTCGTAGACTTTCCGTTTCCGCTGACAAAGGCCGTGATTGCCTCGCCAACACTGCAGTCACGAGTTATGGTCGGTGAACTTTCTCAGCCGGGAGATAGGCTGTTGTACTGGTGGTATTTCTTTTCGCTCATTTGCCATAGTGTTTTAGTACATGTAGGAACTATATGATGGATACATATACACCATGGGCCATACCTATCTCTATTACGGCGCCAAAGCTGTTGCAGTGACTTGGACATTTCGCAGATTGTCAGGGTTTGGGATTTTAAACAAAAATACTCGCCATCATTAATCTGGTGGTGACTATGCTTTCGCTTGAACAATCGTCTCGTGAAAGTATCACGTAGATACTTAGCATCATCTAGTGCAATCTTGAATTATTAACTGCGTATCCAAAGCTTTTGATTTGCTTAACGTCGTGTGATTCTTTGATAGTGAGAGTGTAATGGATCCTTAACTGACAATACCAAACCGGGCTTACACCAAGACTACCTTAATAGAATGAGATGGGGGCAGGAGAAGGCCGAGTTAGTACCTTGAAATGACTACTTGGGTTGAGACCACCTCTAGTTAGAGTACTCGGGATCTCATCCCATCTACTGCATATTTTGTACCCTCATCTACTTCATGAAATAATTCCGAAAGAAAGCAGCAAACTGACCGGGTGGTTACGTAGGTCATGGTCACCAATCAGCACATCCACAGCCTATTGAACGATAGGCTACGAGTATCCGTGTTCGACTTTCAGCATGAGCACCAAGAGATGAAATCCCATCCAGTGGCCAAGCTCCTTTTCCCCCTTTCATATGTCTATCAGACCTTGATCCATAGGTAGATACTTATCTTGACCTACTTACCTTAACTAAATGTCACACGGCATGAAGATAGCAAAGGTGGAGCATGGGGTAAAGTGGAGTCGGCGCTATTTTAATCGCAGATAAGGCCGCCGAATACCTTTCCGATCATCTTCGACTCTCCGGTCGGTCCCCGAGTTGCGGTAGGTTTCCCACTCCTTCTTGATACGCATACACGACATGCTAGGAACTTCTACGTATATCATGCTGTTCAATAGAGCCTCACTCAAACTTCCCAAATTTGACTAAATCTGTCATGTCCGTCCGAGAAGATTTGAGTGGCATCGAGCCTGAAGGCCCACCCGCTGCTGACTCTGCCGGCGGCCGGGTCTGGCAAGCTTGTCTTGCCTGCCGGCGCAAAAAGGTCTGTCTTTTGATGCTGCAACATTACTACGACTACGTAAGCATACATTTGGAAAGACTCGAAAGCTGACGAGGTAATGAAGATCAAATGCGACGGTAAACAACCTTGTCACAACTGTAGCTCTCGTGACCAGTCATGCGAGTTTCCTGGAACGAAGGACAATGCTTCTGCCAGTCGTTAGTAAGTTAGGCCTACTTTTGTCACTCGAACCTTTCTACATAAATCAAGGTCTTACTTTGGAGCAGCTATGTGACATCGTTCGAAGCACGATGCCAACAGATGGATACACTGTGTCAACGGCTGGAAGTGCTCACTGGGCAGCTATCACAGTCTATCGGCGCCCTCAGCCAACAATCACCTGCGCTAGCGAACCACAACCAGCCTTCTGACAGTGTCTCAGCAGCTGAAATCATCAAGTCTTTGCCAGAACTTGCTGCATTGTTATCTCAAGCAACCGCATCTCCTCGACAGGAATCAAGAGCGATTGCAAATCCAAATTCGTACGCAAGCGTTGCTGAATTGGATGTCAACACAGGAGTAATAGACGCTGAATCCGACACGTCTTCATCCAACAACAAGGATGATAATGATGATTTTACTCCAGGAGTCTGTACCTTCAGTTTGACAAAATCGGCCGCCGAGAATCTCGGCCAAGCAGGCGCCTTAGTACGAGATTCCTACGGCCGCCCACGGTATGTTACACTTGGAAAATCTGATCTCCAATACAAAGGGTTTAACCATCCATGAATATAGCTTTGTGGGTGGTGCAGCGAATAACCTTATCGTTGAGGCCGCGAAAAGTCTTCTGCCGAATTTGGCGACAACTACGCCCTCTTCTACAGGAGCCAGTCACGAGTCGCCAAACTTACCAGACCTCGAGATACCTTCATTTGTTCGTGGAAAAATATGGCCTCCTCTTCCGTACATACCTGCACCGGAAAGCCTGTCTCGCCCGCCACAATATGTCTCTGACCTGCTTGTGAGCCTATACTTCGACAAGCTCCACTACATATTCCCTATTCTCATCAAGCCTCACTTTATGAATCGTTATCAGAAGCTTCTGAGAGCCGGGACAGACTCTTCTTCACCTAAGAGAGGAAGGTTTCTTATGGTTTTCTTCGCCGTGTGCGCTTGTGCGTCGGGGCTATTACCGACCAACTTGGAAAGCGGGCTACCCGGTATCGACTTTTACCAAAAGGCCCTGCTCATCTTGTCTGCATCAACTGGAGAGTCCTCCATAGAAAAAGTTCAGTGTCTTGGACTCTTGTCTATGTGCTCGGCAGGGTGGAATACTCTATCTCAAAGTTGGAATTTAGCTGGACAAGCCGTGAGGGCGGCAATCGACATGGGGCTACACATAAATGGTCACTCCGTAAGACTTCCTTTCCGTTTGTTTGTCGGTAGCCTGCTGATGGGAAAGAACGCTGTCGCAAATCAGCAGTCATCTCTCCATATTGAATCTAGGGATTTATCTCTTCAGGAGCAGTCTCGCAGAGTGTGGTGGTGTGTATACACGCTGGACAGGTACCATAGCTCCAGTTTTATTACACCCTAGTAACGCATGGTCCTTGGCTCACAACCCGTGACTCTTTCCAGAACAACATCGATTTGCCTTGGACGTCCTCTCGCGGTAAAGGATGAAGACTGCTACTGTGAGCTGCCATTGGACGTATGCGATGAGGATGTAATGTCCGGGATCAAGAGCGGACACGCTGTCGGAGAAGAAGCCACAACGAGCCCCATGAGCGGCTTCTTAGCGTTTGCTAAGCTCTGCCAGCTTGCAGGCAAGATCCAAGACTTTAGCTCTCCCCTGAAACTACAGAAGGTGGCCTCTGCAGATGCAGAAAAAACTCATAGGTTCTTGGCTCGCGTTGATGCTCATGATCAGGCTCTTCGAAAGTGGCTCGAGAGTTTGCCCGGGGAAATCCAATTCTCAGCAAACAGAAAGAACAAGAGCCATGGTGATATATCCATGGTTCATTGTGTGATTACGTTTTTCTTACACGCAGGATCTCTCATCAGCTTATACCGGTAGGTGAAACAATTTCCTGATATGTGATCATAGAACGACATTGCTGATAGACTGCAGATACTTCTTGAACTATCCCAAAGACTCCGCAGAACGAGACGAAGTGGACGTCTCGGGAGCCATCGATCAATGCATTAATGCTGCACGAGGCTGTATCTACGTCGCTGATATGGTTCGAGACTTGGTGCCAGCTTCACACCATCTGGCTATCTGCATCCACTACCTGACGCTGTCGGGTATCATCCTGTAAGTTGAAGCCTACTTATGATAGCAATTTCTATCATATTGGCCGCAAATGCTCACAAGGCTTCAACTTCAGTCTCCGAGTGCCTATCGATCGCAGCAGTTCAGCTCTTTTGGAAGATGCTGAAAAGTGTGCCCGATCGCTCAAAGACCTAGAGCCTCGGTGGTCTGGAGCCAAAAGAAGCAGAGAAATCATTGAGCAATTGCTTGTTCGACGTCGCAGCGAGATTGCTGGAGAATTGCCCACCTGTCGTGGTAATGAAGGCCGACATTCACCCGAGAACGCCCGCAGGGCCAACAAAAGACCCTTTGCTGATGTTGAGGTCGCATCATCCTCTCTGGTTGACGTTGCTAGCGGAATCTGGAATCCCAGCACCACCAGCTCGATGCCAGAGACAACGCAATATGATGGCTGTATGGATCCTATGCTTTTTGCTTCGTGGACAGGATAAATCCATGATAGCTCGCATAGTTATGACTTGAAAGGAATGACCGAAGTAAGCTATGTCACAAGATTGAGCGATCTCGAGCGTGGAGGTTTGGCAGGGAGAGCAGTTCGCTAAGAAGAAGTAGAAGTAAGCACGAAATCACGAATGTAAGCAATAGTGGGCCGTGCAGCACAGCGCGGCTTCACATGTATTCAGAAGGGCGCTGATTGGTGATATTACAAAGCCATTTCATCCTTCATCATCATCTTCAATATCGTCATTACAAATATCAACTTGCCTTCTTTCAACACTTGGTCCCACACGTACATGCGATCTGTGATTTTCGAATCTTTATCACACCCGCGAGTTGTTGAGATCATACAGAACACCTAGGCGTCTTACATCAATTCTCCAGCAATGGCCTCAACCCTCCCCCCAAACGGCCGCCTCGTCAATATTGGCACACACTCTCTAGCCATCTACGCCCACGGCCCAGAGCCTAATAGCCCGGCCGATCCCGTTGTACTCTTTGTATCCGGTGTAGCCAGCGATGCCCTCAACTGGCAAGCCGTAGTGCGACTTCTCGGCCCCTCTCAGTTGCGGAGCTACACGTATGACCGCTCTGGCAACCGCCACTCGGACCCCTCACCCAATCCGCCAACAGCTGAGAACATCGCCCGAGAACTCGCCCTCCTGATCGAGCATGCGCCCATCCCCAACCCGCTCGTTCTCGTGGGACACTCCTGGGCTGGTGTGCTCACGCACGAGTACTTCGCCCTCAAGGGCGCCAGTCAGGTCGCTGGTCTGGTCCTTGTGGATGCGAACCATGAGACGGCGCCGCTCGTGCTAGATGTCAACGACCCTATTCTCTGGACAAAGATTGCCGCAGGAGTCAAGACATACGACGGCTGGGGGTTGACGACGTCGCATAAGCTCACGAAGGAAGAATGGGACGCTTTCATCGCGGAAGAGGCTACAGAGAAGCACAAACTGATTGCGCAGCGGGAGGATTCCGAGGGTTACTCGCAAAGTTTCGAAACGCTGAGGAGTAAGGGCTTGGCAAAGAGGCAACCACTTCTCGGGGACAAGCCAGTGTATGTGATTGTGGGCACGCGTAGCAGAGACTGGAGCGGGCTTTACGCTGCGGGTGTCGCGAAGGGGAATGGGACGGAGGAGGAGAGGAAGCATGTGAGAGATATGATTGAGGGCGTTGATGCGAAAACTGAGAAGCTCATGAGGGAGTTTCTGCAGCTCTCTAGAAAGAGTGATATTGTGTTTGCGAAGGAGAGTGGGCATTTCGTGCAAATGACACAGCCAGAGATTGTTGTTGACGGAGTGAGGTGGGTGCTGAATAACCAACCGGCCACTGTGTAGAGAGAGTGACTCTAGTTATGAATGAATTGACTACCTTAAGTCCTCAACTGTAGCCAATATTGCTCTGGGTTGAGGGTAACTTGTTCTCTGAATCGTCGTTTCCCTGCTTTCTATCCATCTTTTGTTGCATCTCGCTTCTTTGCTTCCCCATAGCCGCTACCAAGTCCTTCAACTTGGCCATTTCCCCTGACATCCAAGCTGTGATGGCAACGATATCGGCTCCGCAGTTTACAAAGTGAAACCCTCGCTCGTACTTCAATGCCGCAGCATCAGCACTAAGTGCAAAATGACCGACATATTTCCCAGCATCAAGCCCTGCTTTGAGCACGCGTGCTGACGCCTCCTGGACTTCTGATATTGAGGCATGGTCAAATGCCACATAACCCATGGATGAAGCAAGATCGTTGGGTCCGACGAATAACATGTCGATGCCGTCAACAGCCGCGATTTCTTCAACGTTCTCTACGGCCTTTCGGTTCTCTATCTGTACGCAAACCATAACGTTGTCGTTGGCGGTAAGAAGATACTCTCGGCCGGTTTGGTTAAAAGCTGCGGGGGCAAACATAGCTCCCGCGCCCCGAAGACCTTGTGGCCAGCGCGAGGAGGGATACTTGCATGCGCGAACGATGGCTTCAGCTTGCTCCTGAATGATATGACATTAGTTCAAGACGGGCTTTTGGCGCAAAACGACAGAGACTTGCCTTGGTCTCGCACATTGGAACCATGATGGCATGCGCTCCACAGTCCAAAGCTCTCTTCATCATCCAATGTTCTGAAGCTGGTATCCGCACAATGGGAGACGCCCCCGAGGATGAGATCGCACCGACTTGGAGATACATCTGGCTGTCATCGATGTTTCCGTGCTCCGTGTCGATCAGAACCCACTAGATTGTACCCTTCAATCAGTATGACTGGTGGATGTTAGAACCATTCACTCACATCCTCACCCAGTGGCGCGACTGTCCTCGCAAGAGAATAGCCCGGAAACTCCAGCCATTGGCCGATACTGGGCCCTTTGCCTCCTTTCGCGCGCTCTAAAGATTCGCGTAGTTTTGTCTTCCCTGATACATCCATGACGGACGACTGGATTTGTTTGGTAGCCGTGGTGCGATGTCTCCTCATGTGGTTCTCGGAGCCTGTGTTGCGAGACTTTTTGCGACTCGACTGCTTTGCGACGGTAAGTAGGTAATATCGTACTTGATAGAAAAGATAGTTCACCAACCCTGATCGACTACATACACGTGAGTAGGCTCTTGATCAAGTTGTCTACGATCGTCGTTCGCGAGATCGATCATATCACTGATCCCATGTAAGCTCGGCCGGATCCCGGGCCGTAATTTGCTCACAATCAGATGAGCTTTGCCAAGCAGATAACTAGTTCTGTACAATGCTGCCACCCTTATCGATGAATGGCTGTTGTGACCAGGAATGTGGCCTTGGTCGTTATCTCCGGTATCGCGGCCACCGCACTAAGGCACCTTAGTTGGAGTCGCCCGGAAGAGATCCGGCCGGAATACCTTGAGGTAGAACCAGGAGCCCAAAGGACCAGTAGTCGATTTGATAACAGTAGAACCAGGGCCAATTAATCGGTCCTGAAGACAGTCATAGATATAAACAATGACTTTCTCTTCGTACTTGGGTGGACCCTTGAGTTGATCTCGAATTGGAAATCCGACCAGGGTTGTTGACGAAACTTCACATCCGGATATTGTTAGCCGCCGCACTTCGACCAACTTCCGTATTCAAGATGGCTTCCACAGCCGATACTAAAAAGTTTCCCGAAGTCGACGAGACCAGCAAGCCAGACGACATTCTTGAGGGCACTATCGAAGATGCGACCGAATATTCCGACCGTTACTTCCGAAAACTTCGGTTCAAGATCGACTTATGGCTCCTCCCATTGATGTGGGTGTGCTATGGCACGCAGCAAGCCGACAAGACGTCTCTCAGTGTTCAAGCCGTCTTCGGTCTGCGAGAAGATACCGGTCTCGTGGGCGAACAGTTCAACTGGCTCAGCACGATATTCTACCTCTCCTATCTCGTCTGCGAGTTCCCAGGAAACTGGTTGATACAGAAGAGTCATACCGGCAAGTTCCTGTCGGTTGTGATGGTATTGTGGGGTGTCGTTGTTCTGTGCATCGCCTTTGCTAAGAACTTTGCGCACCTCATGATTCTTCGAACGCTACAGGGTGCTCTTGAGTGCACGATCTCTCCGACATTCATGCTCATTACCGGAGCCTGGTACACTTCCCAAGAGCACACCCTGAGGTCTCTGATTTGGGGAACATCCAATGCCGGAATGAATATCATTACCGGGCTTTGCATGTATGGAATCGGACTGCACGCTCAGAAAGACCCGGGTGGTTTGGCTGCAGTAAGTTAAGCCCAGATCTTGCTCACGATCGATCCTTGGCTAACAACCATTCTTAGTGGAAAGGAATTTCCTTATTCCTCGGCGGCCTGACCATCGCGTGTGGAATTCTCGTCTGGTTTATCCTCGGTACACCCCGCGAAGTCCGATGGCTCAACGAAGAAGAGAAGAAAGCCGCGATGGCCCGCGTCATTGTCAACCAGACAGGTTCTGATCGTCAGAAGAGATCCGAGTTCAAGTGGGACCAAGTGTGGTCGACATTCAGGGGTAAGAATTGCCCGCAGATACCTACAACGACGAGCAAAAACTGACACTTGAGTTTGCAGATCCTCAAACGTACTTCTTCTTCTTCGTAACCATCATCAATGCCTTACCGAACGGAGCGAACACGACCTTTTCGAAACTGATCTGGAAGTCATTTGGGTTCACCCCGCTAGAGACGTTGCTGAAGGGCTCCACTCCTTATTACTGCGTGAGCATTGTCTGGTTTTTGGTAGTTGGATTCGTCACATTGAAGAAGCCGAATCTGAGATGTAAGTGTATAACAACGAGCTCTAAACTTGTATTATCTGACAGTTTGCTTTCTCAGTCTTGATGATGATGTTTTCTCTTGTGCCAGCCTTCAGCGGTATGATGGCTCTGGCCTTCCTTCCGACTGACTCTATGAAATGGACGAGATGGGGGATGTATATCCTGCAAGTCTTTGGATCACTGCCAGGTCTGAGTAAGTATCCTGCTGTTTCTCAATCGTGTTCTTTGTCAATGTTACGTATTAACGCAACTCAGTGATCTGGACTTTCCTCCCCTCTAACGTTGCAGGGAGGACGAAGAAAACTGTCACATCTACAGTCCTGTTCGTGGCCTATTGTGTTGGTAACGCAGTGGGTGCCCAAATGTTCGTGGCGTCCGACGCTCCGAAGTACATTCGCGGTCTTACTGCTTGTGCTGTTCTCTACTGCGTTGAATTCTGCAGCATGGCTACCTGGCGTTTCTATTGTAAGTATCTGTCCGATGCTAATGTCAATCGGTCTTAAATTGAGAGCTAACCTTTACTTTAAGACATCTGGGAGAACAAGAGGCGGGATAAGCTGGTTCGCGAGCAAGGGATTTCCAAGGAGGAGAGTGAGCGTCTTGGAAAATTGAACGCCGAGGCAGATATGACGGACCGAGAGAACATTCACTTTAGATATAAGTATTAGCCGGTTTTGGACATATAGCCCGTCTCATGTCGCGAGATTAATGGGGTAGTTTGAGTAAATGATCGATTTAATATAGAATGTTATGGTTCAGACGGGGTCGAACCAGTTGTACGGTCAATACAAGATTTAGTCTCCTCGCTTTCTTCTCCCTGCAAGTTCACGCGAACCTTCCTCGCAGTGTCTTCCATCTCGCCCATGGTGGTGGTGCAACTCAAAACACCACCAACGTCACGCCCATGCCTTATGGCGGCCAAGGAGCTGCTCTTCCATAAAGGTACATTGCCTCGACTGTTGGAGTTGCCAAGCGTCGTGAACAGGAATGCGATGGCCGAGATGAGCATCACGCCGTGAAGAGCGATCCACGGCCACTCGATGTGATACAGCACTGTGGACTTGCCCACGTTGCCGTAGTAACTCAAAGAACCATCCTGAAAGCGATCCGTATCTTGGCCACTCTTCTGACTTTGATCCGGTGCGTAGTTCCTCCGCATCTCGTTGGTCATGCTTGTCGCTAGAGTGTAAAATATGCTGGTGATATTGTGCCTGGTCCAAGTCCAGAGACCGTTCAACGCCGGCGGCGTAGCCTTCATCGACCACTTTTCCGCTTCAAACGGCCCGAACGACGCGCCATTGAACCCGACTGCATCAGATCCCAGTACCTTCTCGATCTCCTCTCTCTGATCCGTAGTGCCTGAAAGATTGGTGCGGAACAAGTCCTGCATGTGCGCGCTCATCGACTTGACAGAGTCTTGGGAAATTCGGTAATAGCCCTCGTTACTGATGTTGGGAAATTCGAGCCTCAAGTCAGTGTTGTAAACAGCAGACCAATATTTGTCAAACTCCAGCGTGCCGTTCGCTTCTTTTGAGATAACATTTTCCGGTTGGCCATCCTCGTACTCTGAGGAGCGTTTCCACGAATCCGGATCTCGTCTCGAATCAAGGGCTTCCGTGACGTTCTCCTGGACTTGGTTGCCTTCGACCGCTGAGTCAATCCGTTTGACACAGTAGTAGAGCGCGCACTCTGTGGCTTGCATCGGTATGTCTGGCCAAAGTTTAAGTCCTGAGGTAGAGCCCGTGTCCGACTTACCGGGAGTGAAGCCGGACGACTTGTTGAGTGCCTCCATGTCTGGGTGAATGATGCTCATTGACCACAAGAGAGTGTCTACATCCTTCATGGAGTTGGTTTTACTTGGGATTCCGGTTCCGAATGATGTGGTCGTATACTTGTCATTCGAGTAGACGCCCAATGGCTGTTTGTTTTCGCATTCTGCGTAACGCCCGTTGTATGGTGGGCAGCCATCGATGTTGGCAATAAAGTGACCATTTGGAAGGACGAATGCTGTTCCGGGGACTTTGTAGCCAGCTAATGTGGTGTTTGCCAATGCAATAATTGCTTGTCCGAACCCCCCGACCTGCTTGAGCTCTGATGTGAGGTCGTTGCATTTGTGGCAGATCCCTAGGCTCTTAAATTGGTCCCAGGTGCAGTTGCTTGTGGGGCATTGGATCAAGGCCTCTTGTTCCACTTCCCAGCGTGATTTGGATAGCCCATTCAAGATTGCGCCTTGCATGGACAGCGGCGTGTCCGTTGAAACCCAGTAATCGTTTGTGGTCGAGTTTTGCCTCGACGATTGTGTGACTTGCGCTGTGCCCATGGAGTAGGTCTGCGTGCCGGAGTTTAGCGCAAGCGGCCCCTTGTCCGTCTGAGTGCTACGCATATAGACAACGCCTTCTCGAACTTGAATAACCTGCTGGGCGAGGGGATCGAGAGCGACGGCAAGGAGGGTCAGGATAGCACCAAGTTGGACAGCGTAACTGGTGCCAAAGTCGTCAGTGGTTGTCTTATGAGATGTTGAAATATGGTGGAGGGGGTAAACTCACGCGCCTCGCGTCCGGAATATGATCCGCAAGCTTCCAAGAGGGCCGCGGGTGGCAGCGTCGATACGGTCGAAGTCCATCAGCGGCCGGTCTTCGCGAGTGAACAGTATCCATTTCCACTGCGCTAGACATTCTGAGAGGACAAATGCGACAGCAGCCTTCATCGTTACTGATAAGATCGAGACTACCGCGTTGAGTGTCACCCCATTCCATGTGAAGATTGGCTTGCCGTCAAAGCAGGCAAGGAGCACCACCATTGCTGTGAAGGAGATGATGCCGCCGACGAGGGCCCAGTATTCTGGGCCCCAGGCCGACCATCGTAGTGAGTGAAGCATCACAGGTGCAGTTTGCTCCTGCGACTGAAGTTCTGATGACGCGAAGTGAAGATTGAGATTTCAAATCTGCAATGGCAGAACTACATATTGTCTATCGGGAGCAACCCAGGGACGCCAGGCAGCTGGGATTGCCAGTTCTCAGCGGCAAAACCCCTGACTACATGAGGCAACTTCACGTCTAGAGTGAGATCAGTCTCACTTTGGGTGGTGTCGGGTGGATTGAAGTAAGCATTAGGATCCAAATCCATGTCCGTCAGCCCTAATACGACGAGCTAAATTCTTGATTCCACCCCGAAGGCACAGTATTAGCTCACGCGAGGCGCTATTCCTGGCCTAGCAGCGGCGTGGGAAGCAAAATCACTGGCCTCTGGGCTCCAGCCACCGTTTCGCGTCGCTAGCGAACAAACGTGTGACACCTTGCGCCTCAAGTATCCATT